CTGTGCACGTTTTGTGCACGTTTTGGCTCTTTTGCTGCTGAGTTGCGATATAAAAGGGGAAATGTAATAAGAATTGATCATGAATGAAATAGTCTTGATTTCCTCTTCTCAGACTCAACCTCAGTTCTCATTCTCTCTCTCTCTCTCTCTCTCTCTTTCCTTTCAATTCTATCTTTGCAAATCTTCTTCCACCCTGGTTCAGGGTTTGCAATGGGCAGGAGCACAACCAAGAGGGTCAATAGAGAAGCGCGATCCTCTCAATTGGTATCAGAGCAGCTGGAGTTGGAGGCGGGAGCTGAAGATTCCATGGCCGATCGTGACATAGCTTCAGGAGACGAGGTGAATCAACACGGAGCTCGCAGGGAGGAGACCCTCATTCAACAGGGACTTTTCAATCAAATGGCTCGTGTGGATGAATCTCTTATTACTCAACAGAAACTCATCAATCAAGAATTCTTGGTGCAGTTGAAGGAGATATCTTCTCAATTGCAAGAACTCAAGAATTCCAAGGAAAAATCAGGCACTGAAGCAAGAAGCGGTCAAAGGGTTTTGGGTTCAGGAGCAAGAAATGATCATGGACTTCTGGGGTCAGGAATCAGAGATCAATTTCAGGGAATCGATCAACAAACTCCATACCCTGGTAATCCCTTGACTCAAAGAAATTCTTTCTTTAGTAAGCAGAAACTAGTTCAGCCAAAATCCTTAAGATTGGACTTTCCATCTTTTTCTGGTTCCGAGAATGTTGTATCTTGGTTGGAACAAATTGAGCAGATTTATGATTACTACGATATTAAGAATGATGAGTGGGTAAAAGTTTGTTCGTTCTATCTAAGAGATGAGGCATTGCAGTGGTATAGGTGGTATGCAAAAAATTTAGAGGATTATAATTACTGGGAAGTTTTCAAGGAAGAAATTATCACTAGATTTGGACCTAGTGAACTCCTTAGACCCTATGATAATTTCTCTACCATGAAACAAACCTCCACAGTCAGGGAATATTTGGGGAATTTTGAGCAAGCTCTGGGAATGTTAGATGACCAGCCATCAAGAAGGCACATACTGGAAAAATTCGTAGGAGGACTGAAAGATGAACTCAGATATGAGGTAGTGGCTGCCAGACCTACTTCTTTGAGGGGTGCTGTATCCTTAGCTAAATTGTTTGAGGATAAGAAAAGAAATGAGAAAAGAAGTAAAGGAAATTGGAATGTCTTTAACCAAGGAAGTCCATCTTCACGTACCTCTCATGAAGTGCCTGTACAAGAGAATACTCGTCACAGATCCTCTTCTCATTTCAAGAAATTAACACCTGAGGACATCCAAAAGAGAAGGAGCCAGAACCTTTGCTTCACATGTGATGAAAAATGGCACAAAGGACATCAATGTAAAGGGAAGCAGATATTCATCTTGGAAGGAATCTTGGAAGGAGGTACTGAGGAAGAGGAAGAAAACTCTGGGAAAAATGATCAAGAAGACCTGGCAATTGAATTGGCTGAGAGTTTAGTGAGGGGAGCACCTTCTATTTCTGTACAAGCTTTGAGTGGAATCACAGCTTCTCACACTATTAGGGTAGTGGGGTATTACAAAAATCAAGCCATTAGTATATTGATAGATTCTGGGTCTACACATAATTTCATCAATGCAAAGTTAGTTAAGAAGCTTGGATTGCCAGTGACTGAGTATAATAACTTTGATGTACTTGTGGCTAGTGGCGAATTAATCAAAGGAGCTGGGGTATGCCAAGGGGTGTCATTAGATTGTCAAGGAGTGAACATCCAAGTAAACCTGTTAGTGATGCCTATGGGGGGAAGTCAGGTTGTGCTAGGAGCAGATTGGATGAAAACATTGGAAGATATCACTCTAAATTTTAAAAAGCTACAGGTAACATTTTTGTGTGATGGGACTAAAAGAACTTTACAAGGAATAGTCCCAGGAGAATCACAGTTGGTTAATGAGAAGAACATTGCTAAATCTGTTAGAGAACAAGGAGAGGGGTATCTAATCCAATTGTGCAGTGTCAGCTTGCAGGAGTCTGCTACAAGAGACAGTCCAGAGGAGTTGCCTGCAGATATGCACAGATTAGTACAAGAGTTTGATGTTATCTTTCAGGAACTACCACATCTTCCTCCTACTAGAGAGATAGATCACAAAATTCCCCTTGAAGCTGGAACAAAACCAGTGTGTATCAGGCCCTACAGACATGCACACTTCCTGAAAGAAGAGATTGAGAAACAAATTGAAGAAATGCTAAACAAGGGAATTATTAGAATCAGTCACATCCCGTTTTCTTCACCAGTGGTGATGGTTAAAAAATCTGATGGAAGTTGGAGGATGTGCATTGATTATAGATCACTCAATAAGGCCACAATCAAAGACAAATTTCCCATTCCAGTTATTGATGAACTGCTGGATGAATTACATGGAACACAATATTTTACAAAACTGGATTTGAAGTCAGGATATCATCAGATAAGGATGTGTGAATCAGACATTCCAAAAACTACATTTAGGACACACAGTGGGCATTTTGAATTCTTAGTCATGCCTTTTGGACTCACCAATGCTCCCTCCACATTCCAGGCCCTCATGAACAATATTTTCAAACACTTCCTCAGGAAATTTGTTTTGGTTTTTTTTGATGATATACTGGTTTATAGTAAAGGGTGGCAGGAACATATAATCCACTTGAGACAGGTATTTCAGATTATGAAGTCTCATCAGTTGGTTGCTAAGTTATCAAAGTGCAGTTTTGGACAGAGGCAAGTTGAGTATTTGGGACATATTGTATCCCAAACAGGGGTTAGTGTGGACCCAAATAAGATTCAAGCAATCATGGATTGGCCAACACCTCAGACACTGAAGGTGTTGAGAGGATTCTTAGGCCTAGCTGGATATTATAGGAAATTCATCAAAGGGTTTGGAACCATTGCTCAACCCTTGACACAGCTTCTAAAGAAAGATAATTACACATGGAATGCAAATGCTGAAGAGGCTTTCAACTCCCTTAAAATTGCCCTCACTAATTCCCCAGTTTTGGCTATGCCTGACTTTAACATGACTTTTGTAATTGAGTGTGATGCATCTGGTACAGGGGTTGGGGCTGTGTTAATGCAAAAAGATAAACCCATAGCCTATTTCAGTTCTGCCTTAAAAGGAAAAAATGCCACTCTATCAACCTATGAAAAGGAGTTACTAGCCATAATTCTGTCTACAAAGAGATGACAACAATATTTGTTGGGAAGGAACTTTGTGATAAGGACTGATCACCAAAGCCTTAAGTACCTTCTTGAACAAAGAATACATACATGTATTCAGAATAAATGGTTGACAAAATTGCATGGGTATGATTATACTGTGGAATATAAGGCTGGTAGGCTGAATAAAGCTGCGGATGGACTATCTAGAATACATGGAGAGGTGGAAGGTGAAATAGAGACATCAGCAATTTCTTTTGTCCAGAGCAACTGGGTGGAAGACATCAGAAATATGTGTGCTAATGACCTTTTTTTTAAAGAGCTGGAGGAAAAATTACAGCAAGTGGCTAATGATGAGTATATTAAGAAGGAAGGAATTTACTACTACAGATGCAAGATTTTAGTGAGTCCTACTGCTCAAGACTTAAAAATCTCTCTATTACAGGAGCATCATGATAGTCCTACTGCAGGTCACTCTGGTATTACTAGAACATTGCATCGGTTGAGAAGGGTTTTTTATTGGAGAGGCATGAAGAAAGATGTTCAGGAATATGTGAAGGCTTGTGATGTTTGCCAAAGAGCTAAGGTGGAGAATGTAGCCTCTCCAGGACTCCTACAACCATTACCTGTTCCAGAATATGTATGAGAAGATTTATCAATGGATTTTATCACTCATCTGCCCAAAAGTGAAGCACAATCAGTCATATTTGTAGTGGTCGATAGACTTTCCAAATATGCTCACTTCTTTGCATTAATCCATCCTTATACTGCTCAATCTGTGGCAAGGGTATTTTTTGAGGGAGTGTTCAAGCTTCATGGTATGCCTAGATCAATAATCAGTGACAGGGACCCTTTGTTCACTAGTTTATTTTGGAAAGAGTTATTCACCTTGCAGGGGAGTCAGCTTAAGTTCAGCTCAGCCTATCACCCTCAGACTGATGGGCAAACGGAAGTGACTAACAATAGTTTGGAAGCCTAATTGAGGTGTTTTTGCTGTCATAAACCTAAGGAATGGTCTAAATGGCTTCCACTGGCTGAGTTTTGGTTTAACACCACTTGGAGAATTTCTACAAACACTACACCATTTGAAGCTGTGTATGGTAGACCCCCTCCATCTTTACTTTCCTATATTCCTAAAAGCTGCAAAGTTGAATCAGTTGATGAAGCTCTCTATTCTAGAGATGTGGCTTTACAGTTCTTGAAGGATAGTTTAAAGAAAGCTGCAGAAAATATGAAAAGATTTGCTGATAAAAATAGAAGTTATAGGAGCTTTCACTACAACGCCTGAAATCTACCATAGCGGCCGAAAAATGCTATGGTATTATTTCATAGCGTTTTAATCAACGCTGTGTCAGAACCCGCTATAGTAGGTCTGTGGCTTTACATAGCGTTTCCCCAAACGCTATCAAAAAGTTTCCAACCATAGCGTTTTTATGTAGCTATAAAAGAGTATTCAATAGCATTTCTATATTGCTATGACAAATATCTTTCATAGCTGTTGAAAAACGCTATTAGTTAGTTTTCAACCATAGCGTTTTTATGTAGCTATAAAAGAGTATTCAATAGCGTTTCTATATTGCTATGACAAATATATTTCATAGCGGTTAAAAAACGCTATTAGTTAGTTTTCATTCATAGCATTTCTACGCTGCTATTGTCTTACATTTAATAGCGTTTGAGTTACTACAATGGCGTTTCAGTGAATGTTGTCTTTCTTCTTTTAATAGCATTTCAGCAATTGTTTCCACTTCTTATAGCATTTCAGTTGTGCCTATAAACCTTTGAGGTTGAACTAGAAATAACTTCCAATTGTGACAACCATAAAAGAAAATATTTCATTTAAATGTTCAAACTGATACATAACCAAGTTGTAGCATACAAGAAGAGTCAACACAAATGTGCCAAAAAACAAATACTAGCCTTTGGATAGTCCAACATGGAGTACAAGAAATTAACCATAGTACACAGAACAACAGAAACTAAATTTGTTGCATTACATATGACTTGGGAGACTCATCATCTTCAGCAATTGAGTACTTGTACTGCTGCAAAAACAAAAATTAACAACACCAATAATGAGATCCTAGAGCCATGAACATTATATGGACACAAAACAGAAAACAACAACACCAATAATTAGAAATCACAAGCTTATATTAATTTCTTTAATAATTTTGTTTAAATTTTTTATTAATGAAAATAAGAAGATAATAATTTGTTCTTTATTAATTCTGCATGAAAAACGGGCTTTAATGATAGCAAAGAGTCGATACCTTTATTTGAATGGTTAGGTTGCTCTTTCTCATGAATCCTGTCAAGCATTGAGATGAAGAACTCATGGGCATCGTGCTGCTCATAACCAGCAAGGGTAGTTGAATGTTGCCACCAATATAAGGAAAATGTGTAGAAGTATTGAAAATTATCACAAATATAAGAATGATCATTTCATCTATGATGCTTCCAAATGACTTATGATTAGGGGTGTTATCGGAGCGGATACGGTTCAGATATAACACTTACCATATCCATATCCGCTTTTTATAAACGGATACGAATACAGATACGGATCATATTCGGTAAGAAAAAACCTTAACCATATCCGCACTTATCGAAAACGGATACGGTTCGGATATTTGAGAATCAGATCGGATATGATCACGGATATAAACGGATATTCGACAAATGAAATTAATTAACCCTCTGGCTAGATTTCATTCAAAATTACCACAATAGCATAGTTAAACTCATGGAATATATATATAATTAAAGTCAGTAATCACTGTACCTGCAATACTAGGCCCAAGTGCAAGTGCAACTATACAAGCACCTGTTAATGTAGCTTGGTTACAGGTATAAACCAAAGCATCTGCAAGAGTAAGCCTTCCTTCTGCATCAGTATTGTTTACCTGCAATGACAGACAACATAATAACAGTGAAGATTTTATCCTAGATCTTTGACAAAAGTTAACAGATAGATAATAAAAAGCAATTTTGACCCCTAGCATGGGCCAAGGTAAGCTCAAACCTCATACTTCTCAAATCAAAATCTCACTTTTATGAATGACAGTGCTCTAGCAATAGGAAATAAGAGTGAGGGAGTGCATGTTTGCGTGTGTGATACTGAACACATGGCATTGCCAAATGATCAGAATATTAAGAAACCTTATTTTGTTGAATCACTTTTCCTGACCAGATATCCTTCTTTCAGGTACTGAAAGTGGATGAAATAAGAAAAGCATCAAAAGTAGACTCTTATTAGTTTGTGTATAAACTGCTCAAACTATATTCCTTATAGGAAACCGGAAAATATACCTCGATTGTTTTCCCATTAAAAGCTGTATGTCACCCGGTCTCATTCCTGTACCACTGATCATATTTTAACAGGCAGCAACAACAAACTGAACCTAGAGAAGAAAATAAGTTTGATACTTCAGCAAATCAAGAACTTCATGTTCCTAAGGAAAATTGGAAGTTGCATTCCACAAAAACTTGCCTCCACCCCAGAAGGTTTAATTTGTCCAATTGCTTTTGCTGCCCCAAGTGTCGCTGCAGAACCTGAAAGTCTCGTCTGCTAGTGCACCTGAAAGTGGTCATAAGCAACAGTTAGTAATATTGTCAGAAGAAAATATTTAAGCTTAAAGGTCTCCTCCTTTTAACCCCAAATAATAATAGTAATGAGGGTAACAAACATCAAGCTTCATGTAATTCTTGTCTGTTATTTCTTAATTACCAGGTGTAAGTACATTGGCTAGTGCATTTACTAGCTCTTTTCCGAAAATCACTCCAGAGCAAACATCACTTGCAAATTTGAGCTTGTTATCCAAATATGGCCCGGAACCAAAGCCAATAATATCTACAGACTTAAGTGATGCTTTTTTCGATTCTGACTTGAACCTGTTGTCTTCGAAAACTCCAAGCATAATTCCTACAGAGAAAATGATTGTGAGAAATTAGAAGAACTTGATTTGTAACAAGAGCTTTTATTGTTAAACATCATTGTGATATATGTTGGAGTTGGATGAGGATGACGACTGGACGGGGATCTGACGCCTGGACGAGGATCTGACGACGAAGATGACGAACGACGCCTGGAAGAGGATGACGACGCCTAGGCGAACGACGAACGGCGAAGATGACGAACGGGGAAGACGACGAATACGAGGATCTGACGAATTTGACGAGGATCTGACAAGGGAGGCTGGAAATTTTACATGCTTGATACACTCTTCAAAAACTAAAAATACAAAATAATCCAGCTTTTAAGTGAAGAATTTATCGTTAGAAGCACTCTAAAGCGATCACGCGGCAAACAAGCACAGGAATGCTAGAGTCAGCGATATATCCTAGTTGGAATTCTAAGGTGATTTCGTGATATGTTGGTATGTGAGATATATCTACAGTCATGCACTCTCTATGAAAGGAATGCTGAAATCACACTTTGGCTGTAGCATCACTCTTTTGAACAATTTTAAGAGTAGAATCGCTCAATTGGTTCGCGTCTCTTTGCTCCAGCTCCAGATATATTGCGCTTCAGAGCTCAAAAACTAATATCTTTTGAAAACTGAACCGAATGTCAGGTGTAGAAGCTTCTATAACTTTTACAAAGCCTACTGGACTTTCGCAGGTTTAAGTGCAATATGCTAACTGTGGAGTAGGTTATGCCAGTGCTTCAATGATAAACCGAGCCTTCCAATAACTAATATGTGTGTGTACATTTATGCATGTATGTACATATATATTTATATAGACAGACACAATAACAAATTCAAATACTAAATACATACCTTCGACCTTTACCTTCATAGGACTGCTCTTTATATGAGACTTGTTTGCCTTCTCTTCATGTTTCTTTGTTAGGTCTTCTTTTACTGGAGCTTTTGCATGCTTTGATTTTCGAATCATGCCAAACAATTCATCTTCAGTTAAAAACTTGGTACTGCATGCATCAGAAGAAGTTCATAAAAACTGATAAGAAGTATTATTAAAGAGAAAAGACAGAAGAAATATAAGATCATTCATACCCCAGCTCCTTGGCTTTGGCTGATTTCTTTCCACCAATATCTTCGTCAGCTAAAAGAAAATTCTGTGAATAAACATCAACAATCATAAAGTGTAACCACTAAAATCGGGCTAAACCAAAACCAAAGATACAAAATAACCTACAGTTTTCTTGCTGACAGACCCAGTAACCCGCCCACCATGCCGTTTAATCAAATCCTCCGCTTCCTCCCGTTCCAAACTTCAAATTAACAATAGCCAAATTTAGATATTTTGTTAGCAACAATAAGAAGAAATGAACACAATTAAGGACATAAATATACTTCAATAGGTGAAACTAAAAATTTATGTGTTAAAGAGTACAAAATTGACTATAACTTCGAAGTTTTAGTGCAGTGGAACGAATCTTTAAAATGTTATTAGGGCAACCCAGGTATTGCCTCTTAAAAGGACAACCCACACATTGGGGCATGTTATCAAGGTTAGGGTTAGGCATCCTTAAGATATATATAGTGAAAATAGCAAGAAATCTCCAATTTTGAGAAGCAATGTTACAATGTACCTATCAAGTGTGCCGCTTATAACGAATGTAAGGCCAGCCAAGCATTCAGGAGCACCCTCCGGAATTTCCTGAACCAACATCACAAGCAAAGACAATTAAAATTTCATTCAATTTCATAGCATTGCATACAAAATAGTTAGACTACCTTCTCCCCTTTATGTGGTGGATCTTTCCTCCCCTAAAATTCATGAACCCACCCCTTCCCCCTCCTCCTCTTCCCCTTCCCTCTCCCGCCTCTGCCTCTCCCACCCGATTTCGTCGGCGTCTTTACCTCTTTCTCCTCGACTTCTTCATTGTCATCATCACTTTCATCCATAACAACAGATTTCTTCACAATTGGTTTCTTGGGCGGCTTAGCCTCAACGACCTTCTTCTTCTCGCTGGATGGCGGTTCAAAGTCATCATCATCTTCTTCTACCTTACGGATCTTTTTCACCAGCGTGGGTTTCACATCCTCCCCACTCTTCTGTGTGGTCTTCCTCTTCGCCGGGGTAGTTTTCTCGGTCATAACCTCATCTTTAACAGCTTTAGCCGCCTGTTCTTTAGAACAGTCAGAATTCGCAAAATACTTGCTGGTTTTCCTCCTCTCTTGACCTCGTTCAACCTAATTTCTCATCAAGACGATTCAATTCTCAAATCCTGAGATCAAACTGCACAAAGAATATAAAAGAAAAGCAAAAGGTGAGGACTTCACAGGTTTCTCGATGGCAGAAGGAGCCGAGGGTTTCTCCGGGGGCTTGGTGGGTTTGGGCGCAGCGCTGTCGTTGCCTTTATCGTGCTGCTTAATGAACCACTTCCTTATATCCGACTACGATCAAACCAAGAAATGTAATAAATTAGCAAAAAATTGCAAAAGGGAGATAATGAGAGAAACCCTAGCTTACCATCTTGGATCAGTGAGCAAAAACCCTAGAAACCCTTAGGGTTTTGGTTAGGGTTCTTCGCATCATAACTTCTACACATCATAACTCATGGGCAATTCTTATATTTCTTTAATAACGTCGACGGAGAAGAAAACGCACCAGAACCAGAGAGCTGAGGTCGGCGATCTTTTGCTGGGAGCGGGAGAGGAGAGAGGAGAGGGAGCGCACAGTGAGGGGAGAGCTGAGGCGAGCAAGGGAAGAGAGGAGTGGGTCTGAAAGAGAGGAGTGCGGATTTTTTTTGGGTTAGGGTTTTTTTTCTCGGGGCGGGACCAATGAAATTTGGGGGAGGAGACGAATGAAAATTTTGGGCGGCATGTTTTAATTTTCAGTCTCCGTTTAAGTATTCAACGACGCGTCAGAAAAAAAAATTTGCCATCAAGAACTTATAGCGTTTAAAATTTTACAAACGCTATCAAAAAATAAGACACATACAATCTATAGCACTTGTAACATAAACGCTATCGTTCAACGCTATAAAAAAATAGTTTTGTTGTAGTGTTTGAAGTGGGAGATTGGGTATTTCTGAAGCTACAGCCTTATAGACAACTCAGTGTATCTTCTTATAAAACCCATAAGCTCTCTCCAAAATACTATGGCCCTTAATTACAAAGTGCTGCAGAAGATTGGGGAAGTTGCTTACAGGTTGGATCTTCCAATTCACGCACAAATTCATCCAGTCTTTCATGTTTCCCAGCTCAAAAAGAGGATTGGTTCTGATGTGGTACTTCAAACCGACTGTCCAAATTATGTCACTGAGATGGTGGATGAACCTGACAAGATTATTGACAGGCGCTCAGTTGTTCAAGGGAGACGGTTAATTTCTCAGGTGTTAATAAAATGGAAGCAGCGATCTCAATTAGATGCTACATGGGAGAATTATTGGGATATTGTTAAACGATTTCCCACCTTTGACCTTGAGGCAAGGTCCAATTTAAGGGGAGGGGAATCAGGTGCGGGGGGGTTGGATCACACTAAGAACCTGTCAATTGAGCTTCAGAATGCGATGGAGGATCTGGTGTATGAGACACGAAGAAGGGATTAGAGGTTACCAGACTTGGAGGGCTGATTTGCAAATATTCTTAAGTAAGGAACAATTGTAATAAATGTAACAAGCTGTTACAAACAGTTAATTCTGTTTGTTTTCTGTTATTGAGTCTGTGCACGTTTTGTGCACGTTTTGGCTCTTTTGCTGCTGAGTTGCGATATAAAAGGGGAAATGTAATAAGAATTGATCATGAATGAAATAGTCTTGATTTCCTCTTCTCAGACTCAACCTCAGTTCTCATTCTCTCTCTCTCTCTCTCTCTCTCTCTCTCTCTCTTTCCTTTCAATTCTATCTTTGCAAATCTTCTTCCACCCTGGTTCAGGGTTTGCAATGGGCAGGAGCACAACCAAGAGGGTCAATAGAGAAGCGCGATCCTCTCACTATCACTGACGATGTCCACAGTTTTATTTCTTCGTGCCAAAATATAGCTCTTTCTTCTTAAGAAATTTGCACTAGAATAGCTAATGAGAATGTTTGGACCATCTCCTCTATTGCAGCATATCCTAATGAATGAATGAGAAATTTTTTAGGAAATTTGGATAGTTGGGTTACTCTCCTCTTCATCATTTTTCTTTTTGAAAAATCTGTATCATTTCTAACATTTATTACCCATTGAATAAACTCAGACTTGGTCGTTCCGATTTCGCTTCCCTCATTTTCTTGAATTCCCTCACTCTGTCTTAAAGCGAATACCACACGTTCCTTCCAAAAGTAATATCGACTAATAGACGCTTCAAATGCGTATCTGTGCATCATTAATTTTTATCGTCCTAAATTATAACAAATGTTTATTAATTTTTGAGTAAGTTTGCTTCGGGACTTCCATATTTAAGGCCGCATGTCGACGTCTCTTTCAATAAAATGGGCGTATAAAACCCTGAGCGCGCGGTTCTACCTCCTGGAAGTAAGAGGACCGCTATATACCAGAAGAAATGACCGCCGCAACTGTTTTTCCTCCTCGTCTCGAGCTTGTGATGATTGACTTCCATACTTAAGTTTCCCCCCATTTCACGTACCGTGTCCATGCAGGAAAAAAGAGCCACAGGTTTTATTATAAACATAATCAATCACTGCATGCATCGCAGAACTCTCCCTGTTTTTTTATTTAGACCGTCAAAATATGTTTTGTGCTCAATTCGTGACACTTCCCTATCATAGTTGAACTCTTCATTCATCTGTTTGTTTTTACACTGTTGCGTAAGAGTTGGAGAAGACAGAGGCGTACCTTTAATATTTGAAGCTCGTCGCTCGTTTTCAGATTTGGAGACTGAAGTATTATACTTTGTACTTCAAGGGTACCTTCGTCTAGGTATTGTCAATTGTCCTCCCATGACTTTTTCGGATTGAGACGTTCATAAAACAAAAAGCATTTGTGCCAACAAACGTCTTGTTTGTCCCCCAGAAGAATGAAATGATACCTTATCAAGAATATATGGTCCATCACCGTCAGTGTCCAAAAGTTTCACAGCACAACAACACATTTCTTTAAATGTTTCATGCACAATTTCATCTTTTATTTTTATATCATTAAAGCGTGTAGGGCCTTTTTGTTGGATTTAATCTAATAAATCTATTTGTGGGCACATATGATTAATCATTGTGTATTGCTATCTTTCAGGATAACCCACTGAAGTGATCAATTAAGTTGGGTTAATTTGGTATTTAAATAAGTCATGGGGTTATATGTGCAGATACCAGGTTGTAATTGTAATTTATTGATGAGCTAAATTACAAAAGTACAACATCTATAAATAAGGGGTTATGGTCCCTAACCTAGGGTTACATTCTCTAATTTTCTTCACCCCCATCTAAGAGAGAAATTCGGCTAAAGAGAAAACCCTAAGGTTAGAAGATCCAAAACCCAAAATCAAGATCAAGCAATGGATTCAGGTATAAGCTTCCGCTCTCTTTTGATTTTGTTAATCTCTTTGAATTAATCATGGCTATATGGTTTTAGATCTCAAGTTTTATGATGTAGATCTAACAAGTGGTATCAGAACCACCTTGATTAATTCTTAGGGATTTAAGTTTTATTGGGTTTTTGATCTTAAATCTCTGGTTAAAGATTCAATTTTTGGGTTCGGATGAACAGTAATGTTCTCGGATGAACAGTAACGAAATTTTTTTTCGGATGAACAATAAAGTATTTTTTTCGGATGAACAGTAACTGAAAAATCGCCGGTGAACGGTAACTTTTGGGAATTTTTTGGATTTTTCTTTGATTTTTCCTTCAATTTTTTCCAATTCTGGATCTGTTTTGAAAATAAAAATCAAAGGTTTTTTGGGTTTGTCGGCGGCGGTTTCAATTTGAAACCCTAAGGGTTCATGGCGAAAATTAAGGAGGTGGTTACCTCAAACGAACCTCGCGTTCGTTCAATTTTAACCGAGCTTCGCGCTCAACGAACCTCGCGTTCGTTCTAAGGTGAACCTCGCGTTCAACTCAGGTGAGCGTCAAGCTCAATTTTAACGAACCTCGCGTTCGTTCTAAGGTGAACCTCGCGTTCAACTCAGGTGAGCGTCAAGCTCAATTTTAACGAACCTCGCGTTCGTTCTAAGGTGAACCTCGCGTTCAACTCAGGTGAGCGTCAAGCTCAATTTTTTAACGAACCTCGCGTTCGTTCTTCAGACGAACCTCGCGTTCGTACTTCAGACGAACCTCGCGTTCGTACTTCAGACGAACCTCGCGTTCGTACTTCAGACGAACCTCGCGTTCGTGCTTCAGTCGAGCCTCGCGTTCGAACTTCAGACGAACCTCGCGTTCGTACTTCAGACGAACCTCGCGTTCGTACTTCAGTTGAACCTCGCGTTCGTACTTCAGACGAACCTCGCGTTCGTACTTCAGACGAACCTCGCGTTCGTACTTCAGACGAACCTCGCGTTCGTACTTCAGACGAACCTCGCGTTCGTACTTCAGACGAACCTCGCGTTCGTACTTCAGACGAACCTCGCGTTCGTACTTCAGACGAACCTCGCGTTCGTACTTCAGACGAACCTCGCGTTCGTACTTCAGACGAACCTCGCGTTCGTACTTCAGACGAACCTCGCGTTCGTACTTCAGACGAACCTCGCGTTCGTACTTCAGACGAACCTCGCGTTCGTACTTCAGTCGAACCTCGCGTTCATTTTTTAAACGAACCTCGCGTTCGTTCCCAAGTTGAACCTCGCGTTCTTTTATCAAACGAACCTCGCGTTCGTTCATTTTCAGACGAACCTCGCGTTCGTGCTTAAGTGAGTCTCGTACTCAATACAGTCGAACCTCGCGTTCGAAGTTAAGGGAACTTCGTGTTCATTATGGTTAAGCCTCGGCTTTTCATGGGTCCACTTTGGTATACTTAATTTATTCAATTAAGTTATGGGCCCTAATTAAGCTGTGAGACCCCAATTAAGTTTTTGGAAATTCAGTTGATTTAAATTTTTTAATTTAAATCTAATTCGGTTTTTAATCAATTATTTAATTCAAATATTATGACACTAAGGTATTAAGGTTGTCTCTCACTCCAATTGATTAATTGAAACAAGAAGTTGCCAAAGTAACCTCTCTTGTGTAGATTGTTCATGAGGAATGTGAGATGTTTGTGTGTATGCTTTCGTGTAAATATTTAATCGGCCCAAAGGAAGGTTAATATTTATTTAGACTGTATACACATCTGCGATGATAAGCGTGTGGCAATTATAAGGTTTACATGTGAATAATGAATCGATCCAAAGATAGTTTCATTATTTGACATGAGTTATTGTCAATGTTTGATCATTGCAACAAGGTATCACTTACAAGTTAATATTACTGTCCAAAGACTTGATATTAATGTTGTGCCGGTATCTTGGATGGGGATTGTCATTATTTGAATTTTATTGATTATGGTTATTGATGTGAGCATTCTTTTGTTTTATTTCAGCTAATGCATCTGCTGCAACAATTTCTGCTAACATCAACTCCATTCCCATGCTAAATGGGACAAACTTCAAGGTTTGGAAAGAG